GGGAAGGCTTACTACACCCCCTCTCCTCGCTCCATCACTAATTTCAACGGAAGAGAAGTTTCAAACTATCTCCCTATCTTATTGATTTGGTATGTTCAGATGAATTATCCAGCATTCGACCATTAAACCATTTTGGCCTTTTGTCCCTTTAAATTTTCTTCGACCTTATTTTCCTTTGACCTTTTGTCCTTTAACCACATATCTTTCAACCCCTTTGTTATGAATGCAATAAGCAAAATTCTTACTTTTGCAGTACGTGATCTTTTCGAGAATCTGAGACTCACCAAGTAATTAGAGATCCAAATCGTTTTAGAGCCAGGGTGTTCTAACAGTTGTGGAAGTGGTAGAGTTCTTAATATTCTCAGAGTTCTGAAAATGTTTCAGAGTTTTGGAGACCGTCCAGACAATGTGGTTGACATCCATACCTCTCACGCTGAAATTCAAATCTTATCCCTGAACAAGTCTCGAATGACCCAAGAGTGTCAATATCCCAATAATTAAAAAAAAAATCAGAGTTCTGAGATTACATGGAATTTTGAGTGTTCTGAATGTGTCTAGATATTCTCGAGTCCTCAAGGTAGAGAGCTCCAAAAGAGTTGTATGACAAAAAGTCGAATCGCCAAATGTCGAATTGACAAAATATCCAAGGGACCAAAAGTCTAAGAGACGAAAGCTCGAATGAACAAAAGGTAGAATGAAATTCAATAGGACAAAAGGTGGTATGGACAAAAGTTTAAAGTAGACTAAAAGTCGATAAGGTTTGAATTGGACAAAAGGTCAAAAGGTCAAATAAGTAAAGTAAATTAATCAAGCTTAAGCTTTGAGAAACCTAACTAACATATTCGAAAGCTATGCCTTGAACGTAATTCCTTCTTTATAACATTAGTAATTTTTAACACATATAAGCTATCCAACAGCGGCGCTGGTGGTTTAGTGGTAAGCGTGATTACCTCTCACCCAAGCAGGCCTGGGTTCAATCCCAGTCGGCGCCGACTGTATGTTCTGAGGCATAACATCTCTGATCACGCCTTCCTTCGAAAGGGAAGTAAAGCCGTTGGTCCCCGGTTCATGAGTTGATGGGTCTATATGTAGGTCCAGGTATGGGAGCTTCCTTCCTGGCGTTGGTAGCATTGGTGCTTAGCACGGAAAACAAGATCGACAAATCAAGGAAAAAAAAAGCTATTAAACACTGATCATGCTCGAAAGTAGTTTCTTTCACGTGGAGCTAACGCTTGCTTTGTAGCCTGACTCAGATAAAAGTTACTGAACACTCCAACTCAAAATGTTCAAAAGTTTTTCCAACCTATTGTTCGTTTGACATCTTGTCCATTTTGAGCTATTGTAAATTAATTTTTTTATTCGACCGTTTGTTTACTCTCCATTTTATCTATTTCAACCTTTTTTCAACTCGATCTTTTGTCCATTTTGACCTTTTGATTTTTTGAACGGAATATAAGTTCGTCGTTTTGTTCATTCGAAGTTTGCCCAACTGTTGCCCATTCGACCTGTCATAATTTCACCTTTTGTCATATATTCTTCTTCTTTCCTTTATTTGACGTTGGTCTCTGTTTCGCAATCTAGTGCCAATCACCGACGGACATCGATTGCCATCCATTAACGAATGTGCAGTGCAGGAAGGCAGCTTCCGCACCTGCGTAGGATATCGCATCCATTCAACACACATGAGCCGGTACCAACGGCTTTACTTCCCTTCCGAACGAAGACGTGACCAGAGATTTTTATGCCTCAGAAAAATCCCACCGACCTCGGCTGGGATTGAACCCAGACCCATTGGGGTGGAAAAGCAGTCACTCTTACCACTACACCACTAGCACTGGCTTGTCATAGATTCCTCCTAGCTGTATGATACACACTTAGGAATAACTACTTTTAGTCGAGACGTAATCCATATTGGACGTAAATCATGGAACGTAAACAAACATTTGTTCTCAAACTGAAACATAAGCAAGTCGATGAAGAGAACGTTTGATTGAATTGATTTTTTCGTTTGTTTAAACTGATTCTTATGTCAAAAGAGCCGCAAATATGTGTCAGTCTCAGGGAACCGAAATTTACATGACTTTTTAGTAGTGTGAAAATACACAGAATGTCGAAATTTCTGACATAAAGAGTTCAAATCGGTTGCCAGAGTTTCAGCAGCTCTTTGATTCTGAGAATCGGTGGTTGGTATGATAATTCTCGTAGTACTGGTTTTTTTTTTCAAATTCCTGTGGTTGCTCTAGTTTTAAAACACTCGTGATGGTCTGTGGGCTTTTGCGGTTTTTTTTTTCTTCTATGTTTTGAGAGTTCTATATGAAGCTTTGTAAGTTCTTAGAGTTCCAGAGGTACCAAGAGATTTGAAAACGTAGGATAAAAAAAATTCTTGGATTCTTCAATAATTATGTTATTTGTTGAAGATCAAGGAGTATTTCAAGATCTCTTGAATTCCAAGGGTAGATTGCTGAAGGTCCAGAAATTCCAATATATTCGAAAGTTCTCGCAGTTCTTAAAGTTTCTGCTCTTAAATTCGTGAACGAGATGATTGGTATTTTGAAGTATTGTAATTCCATGATGAAAACAACATTTCCAGAAGTTGGTGGGGATTCTACAGCCCTGGCAGTTTCTACGATTTCAGAAGTATGCACACGAAACACGCACAAAAATAAACTAGCAAGGGTAAAAAACCGTACAGATTTTTTTTTTCTGATTTCCGGGTACTTATTGAGTATATTTGGCGATATATTCTATGCTGGGAATAGGGATAAATGCTTTCTATGTAAGCCGGAGGAGCACCAGATGAAAAAAAATCGGCAGGACAAACAACACGGAAAAGGCATGCAATCATTGGAAGTTGAATATGAGCTTATTCAAGCAAAAATATGCTGCTTAATCTAGAGAATGGCTTATTCAGCTCTTAATCAGCTCAAATTGTTTGTTGGGTTATGAACGCTGGTGTAGTGGCTGGAGGTGCATCGTTGAACGGTAACAACCAGGAAACAAAAGAAGTGATCGAGGTGCTGCATAAAGAGGTGGTGAAAATGAACATGATGACCCCGGAGACCTAAAATGTATTCCAACATATTGTACCCAAACACAAAAAAATCTAGCATGCAAGAATTGTAAATCAATTTTAAAAATATATTAGTCCATCGGCTTCGTATAGCTCTAAAAGGCATTGAGCCGATTAAATAAATACTATAGAATATACTTTTTTTCTACAATTTCAGAAGTAGTCCTAGAGTTCTATATGCTCTCGAATCACCAATATTTTCCGATCTTACTGAAGTTCCGGTTGCTGTGGGAGTTTGGAGAGCTCTCGAAGCTTTGGAAAACTGCAGAAATTTTCACGCAAACCATCAAATTGCAAGGAATATTGCTCACAAAAATGGATGGTTTTATAAAATATTTGAAATATTTCGTGAAATGTCTCATAATTTTACATATTTATATTATAATTTTAATTATATATGACGCTCAATTGATGTGCATAATATTGAATAGTAATACACTACTGAGGAATTTGACCTGGGCTCAGGTTAAAGCCAAAGCAAGCTGCCACCCAGGATGGAAATATTTCACGTTGATCCTTTGAACCACTGATGGTCTGCAGGAATCATGAGTGAGTGAGACAATAACACCAGGTACTGCGAGATTAGTTCTGGAACTTTAGAAACCATGGGAGCTCCGACAACTTACCCATGGGAAATATTCAGATTTCCGTAAGATTTTCGAAATCTGGGTATTCGTGAAACTCAGCTAAATCAGATACAGACATCCTAGAACACTGGGGTCTTGTAATTCTCCAGAAAAAAAAAACGTCTTAAATATCTATAAAGCTTGACAAATTTCGGAACTTTTTGTGTACCAAAAGTGTTTGAAGTATTGCATGTTATGTACACAAAGCACTAAAATTTAAAAAGGTTTTCGAAGGTTTTGAAGTGCAGTTTCGACATTTAACGAAGTATCAAGAATTCCAGGAGTTACATAAGCTCTCAAAGTACTGCGAGCTTCCAAATATTCAAAAAATTTTTTTTAACTAGTTCGTTTATTTGGGAGGCTCAATCGCGTTAGCTTTACGGAGCCGATAGTTCATTGTTCTTTGTTTGTAACAAAATTCACTTAATTCTATGTCTAGTAGGAGTTGGGCCGAATACTCGCGGCTTACTCGAGGTTAGAGAGGTACATTGTCGAAGGATAGGATCAGGGAAGGAGTTTGGGGGTAAGATTTCGTTGTCTCATCAGAGCGTTGTCGCCAGTATGAATGGTAGTGCGGTTCTAGTTACGTCTGGAGTGCGACCGGCTATGGTGACCAGTGGGCGACGATGAGACTCATCGAGACGGGGGGTATATTCAAAAATACCCGCGTTCAACTTTTTCCTTCAATCCAAGAGGTTTCTAGAGCTGCCAGCGTTTATTATAGCAAGTTGGCAGCACACTATTGCAGCAAGTTGGAAGCAGAAGGGTTCTGCTTGACCCTAGTCACGTCTACGGTTCTCGACCGTATGTAGCACAATTCATCCGCCACGCGATGCACGCCAGCCCTACATATATCATATCATACATTGGAGCTAAACAAATCGAAAATGTTTCATTGTCATACGAAACCCTACCCTTTGGCCCTCCACCGCTAAATACATAAGAATTGCACGCTGCTCTCTTGCTGAACTTGGCTAGAGAAACACGTGCCGAAAATCCTATCGATTAAATGTTGTACTATTTCTGCCAGTTTTTTTCCACCTCCCCCCCCCCTTCCTCTTGCCGAATGATGTTTAACCAATCGAACTTTGGACCTATCCTCAGTGGACTGCTTGCGCCATTCGCTGGTAGTTTGTTCTGTACCACCGTCAATGTACGGAATGCACCACGATTGTGCACTTTTCGTTAATAGCAATCGCACCGCCCACTCGCAAAAGGTGATAGTTCCCTCCTAACGACCAGTGATTGATGATTGTGCTCACCTTTGGCGTTCTTCTTATCTCGTTTTCATATCCTAACCGCAGTGTGAACCTCCCACGTGTGACCGCCCAGCTGGAAAAACTGATGGGGACCAATGTGGTACGCCTCACGGATCGGAAGTACATGCAGGAGCTGCAACGTCGCATCCAGCAAGATTACAATGTCACCCTAGAGAAACGGATCAACGAGCGTGAGGTAAGTGGTGCTGCAACTAATAGGAAAAGCGTAATCAATTGAGTGCTGTTTAGTATGGAAATAGCAGAAATTTCGATTTGCTTACATAAACGCAGTTTACCGGCGAAGATGACGGATTTTCGGCGTTAGGTAATGTGCAGTCAGCAGCTTCAAACGTGTTGCTGGCGACAACGACGACGGTTACGATGACGACGTGGGATGTCAAAGTTAATTAGAGAAAAAAAAAATTCGGGGGTTGAATCATCAATCATGGGAGAAACGAGTTAGCTGGTGGATATGTGAGGGAAAGCTTTGTTAGGTCTAGCTCGAATGTGGGTTGCCTATTTGGAATCTCCTTGCTAATGCTAATTTCCTGGCAGCACGTAATCACATTCTTCATGAGGGAGTGGAAATTAGTTTCTGAAAAACTATGTTTTGGGGAGCCCATTCAACGTGCTACATTCTAGTCCACATAAAACTAATTATGATTCTGGGATTGTGATTTGAGCTTCGATTGAAATTCATACGGAGGGTTGAATATATTGTGCGAATTAAGCGTTATGTATACAGAACAGTACGAGGGATTTAGGGAAATTTGTGAAATCAAAATACTCTGCTGAAAGCTAATCCATCTGATAAATTTAGGTTTGTTTTCATGGTTTCTTTCACTCTTGAGTCATTCGTGACTGGCCCGGGATGAGATTTAAAGTCGTTACCTTGGTCACCTTACCCACAACGATGGGACTGTTCCCTATGAATATTACTGCAAACGTATAATATCCCGGTGAAGTTGTAGGACAAAAGGTTGAAGGACAGAAGGTCAAAGGACAAAAGGTCAAAGGACAAAAGGTTGCAGGACAAAAGGTTGTAATGACAAAAGGTCGAATCATGAAAAATACAAAAGGATAAAAGGTCGAAGAAAAAAACAAGTCGAAAGGATAAAAGATCTAAGGGACAAAAGGTAGAATCATGAAAAATACACAAGAATAAAAGGTCCAAGGGACAAAACGTTCATGGGAAAAAAAAGTCGAAAGCTACAAAAGGTCGAATCATGAAAGACACAAAAAGAAAAACTTTTATCACTGATGGAGATGTCTCCTTCCTTGACAGACAATAGCTTTTGAATACTTCAACTCAAAACTAATGTTTCACTCTTAGTTAACACTTCTACACATGTCATAAATGAGCAGGTTTTTGGTAGACTATGTGTATAAGAGCCACGTCAAGAGAAAAACATTGGAACTTCTATGACGGTTGTCGAACAATTCCCTTCCCTTTCATTTGGCAACAGAGGGCTTCTGCATCAACTTTAAATGGCTTCTAACGAGACAACAAATTAGCAGCTGCAGTTAATCATTATATCTGTGATTTTTCCGAAACATCATAACAACAAATTGACAGTGAGCATACATAAGGGCGTATACGCGATGATCGATTCTCTTCATCGATTTTCTCTTTGCATTGCTACAGCTGAGCGAAAAATATATTTAGAATTTGTTCAATGCAGAGTTGTAACAGGTTGTATTGGCTATCAAAAGCAGCAGCAAACATACAATGGTGGTAAGCTCCAACCGGTATTATCCTCGGATTAAATCCCGATTAAGACTGTCCGGCTGGTTTGATGTCAACATCAGAGTTAATCAACATAACTCTGAGCAAACATTTTTCAGATCATACAAACAGGGACGGTATTAAAAGTTAATCCGAGTTGGAGCTTACCGCCACAAAAAAAACGTTAAATCTAGCGAGCTAGGGCCCATGCATTAATTATGTCACGTTAAATCGTGCAAAAAATTACCCCCTCCCTCCTATCGGGACGTTTTTCCTATACCTAATGCATTGCTTATCACAAAATCTTAGACCCCCTCTTAGAGCGTGACATAATATATGTATCAACCCTTATTAACAAAAGAGAAAATCGACCTAGAGAATCGATCATCGCGTATACGCCTTTATGCATGCTCACTGTCGAAATAATACAAATTCTCATTTCTGATCATTTCCAAACGTATCCTAGGACAATTTAAAGCTTACTACTTGTTTATGCTCGATTAGTTGATTATATTTTATATTTTATTGCATTACCTTCCGTGGAGCTTTCATAGCATCGTAATGTTTGTTGATTTTGCTTGAAGGTAGCTGGTTTGATAGTTCAATAGGTAGACATGGCTTCACTCTTGGCGTGACTAATTATACACTGACTCTAGTATATTGAAGCCGACTGATTTTCAAAATATCAATCCTAAATAACTTATTTCTCACCCTTGGAGTTGACTCCTTCTTTATAACATGAGCAGTTTTTTGACAGATAAAAGCTATTGAATAATCCAACGTAAAATACTTGTAATTCTTATCTCCCTTTTGGAGATTACTCCTTCTTGGGCAGTTCTTAAAGCTTGAGTAATTAAAGATCTGGACGCACTGTTTATTTCACTGCGGTGTTCCTAGCGGTCGGGTCTGGACTGTTTTGACAGCAGTTTGTTTTGAAATGTTTTCTCTTTCAGTGCTGAAAAGTGCGTCACGATTCATATTGTTTAAAAGAAGTTTGGTTTGGACACCCACTTGGAAAATCTGACGTTCAAAAATCGCGAAGTCGTTGAAATTGGCTAAATCGACTGTGTGCAGTGTTCTCAAACGTTTCTGTAAGCAGCATACTATTGATCGGCAGGATCATCGCAAGCGTCGTGTCTGATCTATTCTGTACAAATTTGTAAATGCTTACTTCATCTGGAGGAACTTCTATATGTCAATGACTTCTATCTTGGCTTCCATAGCTCTCCCTGGCTGTGATTCGTTACGTTGAAAGGTATGCATTACCGTTACCCGTTAGTATGTAATCTATGTAATCCTAAAGCACGGCAAAACAGTTTTTACAAATAATTCATGAGAGAAATCATTCAACCATGATCTGCACGGACTATTGTGATATTTGACAAACATAACATCACGTCACATTAGGGATCTTCTTAGATGTCAAGAGACATTCATTTGATTTCAGAGAACTTCATAGAAGTTCGTGGAACTTCATAAAAGTTCAGGGTACATCGTAGATCTTCAGGATACTTCGTAGAATTTTAAACAACTTTGTGGACAATGATTACGGAACATCGCATGAATTATTTGAAATTCGTACAAGTTCAGCAAGCTGGGCCGAAATTCAATTGTACCTATTGATGATGTAAGCTATTGAAATTTTTTTGAAGTACTGCAAACTACGAAGAAGTTGGCAGAAAATCGCAGGATTTCATCGAATATTCTACATATTCAGGGAACTTCATATAGGCTTTGAGTTCATGGAATTGAGTTTAAGTTCAAGAAGTTGAAATTATAGGAATCTTCGTATAACTGATATTCACGGATTTGCGATGAAATCTCTCGATATTCTTCAAGACTTAATCAAGTAATCTTCTGAAGATCTGCAACTGTTCAAAAATTCAAACGACGTCTTTTGGACATCCTTCCCAGACAGAAGTTTGATCAGAGAGTATTTGAAGGATATACAACTGGTCGGAGATTCAAAGACCTCTGGATATTTTTCAAGGCTTCAGGTTGATCAACTATTATTGTGAAGATATTCTCCCAAAAATGAACGTTGCTCAGAAACTATTTAAAAGATCTCCAGCTAATCGAATATTTCAGTGAAGTCCGGTGAATTTTCAACTTAATCAAGTTTTATTCTGAATTATCCGATTTTGGTTATATTATTCATATTCAACATATTCAGGAATAAGCTTAAAATATGAAAACAAAAACTTCATTTATTTAACAAAAATATTCATATTCCTGCTTTAAATTTGAAAAAATCCATCGGAAGCCTGCTTCAGCTTCCGCATGTCTTGAAACAACTTCACAAATCATGTCTTCAAAATGTCTGCATGAAAAAATACCTTCACAGAATTTTAAATGTCTTCAAATGAAGATATGTCTTTAAATCTGGTGTCCCTAGTATTGAAGAAATCTCTATGTTTTAATCTTTCTTCGAAGGAGATGAGACATACGAATATTAAAACAATTTACTATCTTTATTAACTTCCCGGGATATCAAATAAATATTTACCGAATCCCGGGATGGTGGAAACCACCGGGAAATGGAAGCTCTACTCACGACCTCAATCTCTCAACATGCCATGTATTTTGATGACACTCGATTTGTGATTTCCCTTTCACGGATTACAAAATAGAGTACCTGACACTACGAAACATGTCTGGTATCTCTATATATGCATTTAGTTTAACATTTGAAGTACCTCCTTTTTTACACATTCTGCACAAAATATTCTTTCTGCCCCGCCTCATACATAAAAATTGGCGGGAAATTCTGTGAGGAGTGAGCTATTATGTGTGCAGAATGTGTAAAAAAGGAGGGACTTCGAATAATAATCTAAATGCTTATATAGAGGTACCAGACATGTTTTGCGCTGCAGTGTCCTCTGTGAACAATTAACGGAAAACATATTATGTTTAGTTTCCGTTAGATGTCACCGCAAACAACATCAATGTCTGATGAAAAATGAATGCAGAAGCTTGACAAAATGATCAATTGAGAAATATTGGAAAACAGAAGTTGAAGAATAGTGGAAGGTGACTCAGAATGCGACAGAGATGAAAAGATGCTGGAGCAAAACGGCCGCTCAGGTTAGTCAACAGAGTGTCCAAAATTTGATGAGTGGTATTTGAAGAAAAGTTCTTGAATTCCTAAAATCCAAATCGGAATAATTTTTTTTCGTTATTTTTTCCTTTAAAGTGCAATAAATGACCTTCATTTTGAGTACTCAACATTTTAATTTTATTAAGATGGTTTCGAGATTCCTTTGGTTTTTTTCGTCCAGATATTAAATGACTCAAGCTTTACAGACAAAATGCATGGACTAATCATTAAAAATTCCTTTTGTATTGTTGTAATGTTTATTTCAAATCTTTTTCGTAATATGAACAGTTTTTAACTTACGTTGGACATCTTTCTTTTATCATGATGATGCATGATAGTGGTTGACCACCCATTGAAGCACGGAAAATAAGTC